TGTTAACCGAATATTTCAGCATCGTAATTTAGTTTACTTAATATTACCCCTGAAGTTGAGAGGAGCAACATTCTCATTTATTGTAATGTTCTTTTTGACTTGTGCTTATGGAATTTATAATATAGAGAACTCGAGTACCATTGTGGTAATCCTTTATTCTCCATATAGATCGTTGTCTTTTTGAAATTTCCTCCTTGTCGTGCAAATCATGACCCGAGCCCATAGAACCTTTTCTTCTGAAAATTTTATTTACAAAACTTAGCTAACTTTGGTAATTGGCCTATCCTCTGAATTAGCATGGACGGTGAAATGGTGAACACAAAATATTTTAACTAAGGTTATCAAAATTGAGAGTTTACTTAAAATCATTTTAATTAAATATAGTAAAATCAATTTGGTATAATCTAGAGTTTATTAAATTTAATATATAATATATAATAAATTATATAAAATCAAAATTAAACAATAATAAATTAAATTTAGAGTTAAAAACTTAACTAATTAAAATCTAAATATCTAATAACACAAATAAATAAATTAATTTAACATAAATCATTAGTTAAATATTTAAATTAGAAATTAAAAATGGTAAATACTAACTTTCTTGCCAAAAGAGATAAAAAAGAAGTTGGTGGAGATTCTAAACAAGATATGATCCAAATAATCAAGATGCTGAATATTTTGAAGGCAGCAAGGGCCTGAGCAGTGAGCAGTAGCAAGGCAGCAAGGGCCTGAGCAGTGAGCAGCAGCAAGGCAGCAAGGGCCTGAGCAGTGAGCAGCAGCAAGGCAGCAAGGGCCTGAGCACACAGTGAGCAGCAGTAACTTCGGGAAGAGCCTGAGCAATGAGCAGTAGCAACTCCAGCAAGCCCCTGAGCAGTGAGCAGCACTGAGCAGTACTGAGCAGTGAGTAGCGGCAGTGGCAGTGACAGTGAGTGATGAGCAGCAAAAGTGGCCAGTGAGTGATGAGCAGCGGCAGGGGCCAGTGAGTGATGAGAGTAGCGGCAGTTCGATCTAATCTCCCCTTCCCCTGCGGTGAACCCTAAGTGAAGAGTGAAGGAAGACTAAAGAAGATCAAAGATTTAGATCAAATTAGTCCCAAACTCCCGATTTCTAGAAGCAAATTGCAATTGTTGTTGGGTTGAGGGCTGTGGGCTTTTAAAATAAGAAATGGGTTTAATTTAAGGGCTGTTGGTCAAAGCCCATTAACTCAAGATGGATGCCCAAGAGGAAATGGTCCAGCTGCTTGAACTGAGGGTAAAATCGAAATTTTATCTAATTTCTTAATAAAATCATGATTTTACAATTTTAACTCTCAATTGCACAAAATTTTGATTTTAACATAAATTTTATTCAAAATACTTATTTAAAATTGTAAAATCGTACGATTTTACGATTCAAATCATGATTTTAACAACACTGATTGTAACCATCTTTCTAGTTCAGCAAAAGTCTACTCACTACATTTTAAAACAATGAATACATATTCTCCCTGACGCCCCCTTCTCTGCCAAAGTAAGGGTAAAGAAAGATGTCTATGACCCATGCCCCCGGAAGAGGAAGATTTGAATACGACTTCAGTTTTTCGGATCTTCCCTTGTTTTTTAATTTTATTGAAAGCTTCCTGCCAATTCCTCCAAGTTGACTGAAGATATACTAGTAAATATGCTACCTCCTAACGCCTAAGTCCCACAGAGAAAAAATAATAATTAATTTTGATTAATCATATTATTAGTTATTAGGATATTTTGTTGGACTTTGGTTGACCCAACTACAAAAGGCGAGTAGCAGTGGCAGACATGATCATGACACATAGCAAACTTTTCTTTCTCTTCTTCCCCACCTTTTTTTTTTTTTGAAGAAAGCAAACTTTACTTTCTTAATAATGCAGATCGAGTGGCTGAATTTTAGTTCAAAAAAGCAAAGGTCGAATTTGTTCCTGCAACAACCGGCAATCTTTTTTACACTACACTTTATAATATGTGGGACCCATTAACAATAATTGTTTAGAGGCGAGGGACTGTTCTTGACTTGACTTTTTTTAAGGGATTGGCTCTTCCCGCATGTAGACTTCGCCTCTCATTTGGTTAAATGATCATTTAGTCTCTCAACTTTAAGTTTTTGACCAAGTTACTTCCGAAACTTCAAACTGATCAACATCATCCCTAAACTTTAATTTTCTGATGCCAACTTGGTCCTTCCTTCAATTAAATGCTAACATGGACAATTACGTGATCTTAAAATACAAAATTTTAAAATTAAAATATTACATGAAAATTGTGAAATTATTTTATGAGTTTTTCTAATCCATGCCCTATGAGTTTAGATTAACAACATTTTCATCATAAATGTTATTAAAAAATATAAAAATTGACATTAATTTTAATATTATTGTCAAATGGGTAAATTTAATTGAATAGTTGATAAATTAAATATCAATTTTTATTTTTTTAACACAAATTAATGACAAAAATACATATTTACTATATTTTTAACATATATCCTTACAACATACATTAGAAAAACCTTATTTTATTATTGATATGAATAATTTTCTTTTCCACATAAGACTTTCCTTGTAAAATTGAATAGTAATTATTTAATAAATAATTTAAATATAGTAGGACTCACTCACTTTAAAATTGTAGGTTTTCTAATGCTAACCATTATCCTACCTTAATTATTTTTCTAAGGAAAAAAAATGTACTGTATGTCATTCTCTTAAAATTTTTTTAAGAATATGTCTAAAAACTTATCTTCTAATTAATATTTTTAAAACCCAACTATTAGATTAAAAATTCTATTTATATAGATTATGCATACTAATTTTTAAATTATTTTAATAGATCTAATCGTTTCATTGATTATAATAAATTTAATACCATTAAATATATGTCAATAAATAGAGTTTCTTTGACCAATGAGCTATACTGTTACATCAATATGGAAATTAACACACATAATCCATATGAATAAAACTTTTAATCTAATAGTCGAGATTCAAAAATATTAATTAGAAAGTAAGTTTTTAGATAAGTTTTCCAAAAGAATTTTAGGAGAACAACGTACCCTACACTATTATCATTTTTTAATGTGCAATTATCATAGCTTTCTTAGTAAATTAAATTAAATACATTAGGGTCCATGCTTAATTAATCTTCTCTCATCCCTCCCTTCTCCAACATCTCCTACTCTCATTCTTTGGAATCTCTTTCTCTCCTTCTCCTCATATATGTTCGTTCTCTCTCATGTGTGTGCTTCTAAGCTGGCCAATAGTCTCCACACCCTCCACACCCAAAATCAAATTCAACCTTTCAAAACACATCAAGAAACATTTACATAATCTCAAACTATAGTTCTAGCCACCAAAACTACAATTAAAACAATAATTCTTCCCCCAATCTTTAGTGGCTAAAAGGAGAATTTTGGCCACAAAATCAAGCAAAACAGCACACAAACTAATCTAACTGTAGAAGAGTGGAGACTTCAATTTCACAACAACATCATCAGTCCATGAGATATTTATGGGCAGATCTAGATTCTCATGCAATGAACCTAACCTAATTGGTTTGCCATATGGGAGATTAGTGATGGGGTGAAAGAGAAGGCGAAGAAGAGACAGAGGCATAAAGAAAAGATGAAGAGGGCACCAATGAAGGGAGAGGGAAGAGATCATTGATGCCAAAGAAGAGATAGGGAGAAAGATATCCCTAGTGTTAGAGAAGAAGAGTAAAGAGAAAGAAAGGAAGAAGAAGGTGAAGTGGGGGAAGAAGGCAAGGATAGATAGTTTTGCAGTTAAACTCAATTAGAGTTTAGTATTTAGCTGATAAAAGTATTAAAATTTTATATCATTGCTTTAATTTTTAAAGTATAGACATGCACATGTAAAAGCCATAACAACCCAATAAAAAAAAAAAAGAATTCCATCTAATATTTAAAATTAAAAAGCATGAATTTGTGGCAAATTAACATCACAACTGAACAATTCTATTAACGAAAGAACCAACTACGTTTAAAGACAATCTGGTAATTTTCAAGGTTCAAGGACCAACTTGGTCTAAAAATCAAAGTTCAGATACCAAAATGGTGATTTAACCTTCTCGTTTTCCTGTTCCCTTATCATCCTCTATAATTGCCCGTATTCCGTCCTATTTCAATTTCCATCCCTACTCTTCTCTCCTGGAAAACGCAGTAACTCCCATCGGAGACTCTCCGGCAAACTTCTTCTGAAAAGGCCTTGACTTAACGAAATTTCTCTCTATTTCCTCAATGTTCGAAATCTCTCCCAGATTTTTCGTTCGATTCCAGAAGACTTCTGTTCTACTCACCGCCGTTTCTCAACTCAATCACATAGGTCAAGGCCGGTCGTCGTAAATGAGCGCAAGGAGGCGATCCCGACTTTGATTGAGGTCTGCTTTTCAAAGTTTCTGGAGGAAAGAAAGCTTTTAGTCTCTTTTTAATCCGTTTTCTCGGTAACCAAACTTAAGACATCTTTTGATTGAGTTTTAACTTTTAATTGTGCAGGAAATTAATGTGTATTTGGGATTGAGGTAGGGGATTTTTTCTTGTAATTTTTTTTTTTGGACTAATTTTTTCAAAAATTATAAAATTGTAACAGTTTTTTTTTTCTTCAAAAATTATAAAAAGTTATAACAAGTTGACAGCAATATTAAGATGTGTTAAAAATTGCGGGTAGAGGTTTTATATGGTAATCATATAATATTTTTAAATATTTGTATAATTGTTAATTTTTTAATTATTTTTATAAAAAATATAAAAAAATTATAATAAAATTATAATAATTATAAATATAAAGTTAAAATACTTTATTTTAAAGTTTTTTAATTATATTTTTATAAAAAATACTTAATATTTAATATTTAATATAATTATAAAATTATTTATTAAAATTCAACCTTATTTAATTCATTTATATTACAATTTATAATACTTTATTTAAATTTTATGTCTCATTTATTTTAAAACTTTATAAAAAAATTAAAAACTAATCATCACCTATCAACTACTTTCTGCAAAAGCCTCTGTTTGCATTGGAGGAGTTGAGAGGAGAGGGGAGGAGAGAAAAGGAGATATATATATTATCTGGATAACATTATTAATGAAGGAAAAATGAGAGGAAAGTAGATAGGGGGACGACAAACTCCCTTCAAATCTTTTGTTTTTAATTCATCTAATTT